GTCAGTCAGCACAGTCCCTCACCTGCAACCTACCACTTCATTGTCATTAATTCCTTGGGAATATCAGGGTATTTTCTATACTGTCTTTTTAAAAAATCACTATTACATTTTACATTAATACTATATGACAGTAACAATATATCAAGCTTCTCCAAGCTAAATCCTCACAAAACAATCTTTCCGATCTTGTTCAATTTTAATTGCTTGCAGCTGCAGTCAATCCATCGATTAAGCAAGACCTGTCAGAATTATCCTTACCTCCACAATCTCAACAAGTAATAATTCAGTAAGACAGTTATAATTTTATATTTCCTTCAGAGATCTTACTGTCAATTTTGACTTTACTTGTATGCCAGTTTCCTTCATCAAACTGTGAACACCAAAAGCAAGGTAACAAAAATTAGCAAACTCCCAAAAAATTACATGCAAAGATCAGCCGTTTCTCTATAATTCTCACAAAGCTCTGAAGAATTTCACAATTTTTCATCTTGCTCCCCAAGCTTCTGACCTTCCTTAAATGGTCAGTCAATCTCCACGCATTGTCTAACTTTCATTCACTTCAACTGTCTTCTTAGCACATGTTCTTTTGAATTTGTTTTTGTTTGAGTTACATAACTTAAAATTCCCTGGAGCTGGAACTTCTAAAGGTAAGATACCAATCCAGTATTCACATATTTATTTTCCTAAATATCCATTCATATATCTTATGTGTGTAATATCATGTATTTATTTTAAGTAATCCTTTCCTACTTATTTTCACCTCCTTTACCTTAATACTATATCACAGTTCATGATATATTATCGATAATAATAAAACATAACTGTTGCTCACTGCAGATTCTCAAATGATCATTTCCCACTACAGCATCTTAGCCAGTCTGCCAATTGAGGAATAGCTAAAGTATCTGGCAGGGGCTGCCTAGGAAACAAGAAGGATTCTGCTACCACAGCTTTGAAAGGTGATTATTCCAAGTCCCAGGGGATTTCTCAGGTTGGAAAGGTCAATAGAACCCTTAGGAGACACAAAGTTGAGGGAAAATAAGGCTGGGCTTCAACTCAACACAAAGTGGTAGCAATGTCCCACTGGCCAGTCATGCTAACAGAAACCAACTACCAAGGACTTGTGTAAGCCTAGTGCTCTCTCCTGTGGAGAGCACACGTTCAGACTATTCCATGGTACCTATTCAAATGAGATGACACACAATATGCAATTCACTGGGGAATTCCATGTGAAGACAAACACAAGACAACTCAGTTTAGTGTGGGCAAACTATATGAAGCCTATCCGACCTAAATAATAAAAACCCACTGCCACCTACTTGATACTGACTTGCAGCAGCCCTTGCAGTTAGTAGCTCTTCATAGAACCAGCCCACTACGATGCCACTAGGGCTCCTTCATTTTACAGAAAGAATGGTATTACATACCCTGATTCCGAATAATCCCAGCACAGAATTCTTACTTACTCAAAAAAAAACTCACTGCCATTCAATTGATGCAGACTCAAATCGACAGAGTAGAAGTGCCCTTATGGATTGTTGAGACTGTAACTCTTTATGGGAAAAGAAAGCCACGTTTTTCTCCAACTGAGTGTCTGGGGGTTGTGAACTGCTAACCTCATGATTAACAGCTCAAAACCTAATCCACCATGCTATCAGAGTTCCTATTTAGCTATATAACTATAAAATTTTGAATGCTGTCTCTGTGTTCTGTGCAGCCATTGCAACAAATATAATATTGGCCTAGTGGCTTGTTGTACCTTGATGGCTTTCCCATCCAAGGATTTTCTATTCATTATCTTTAGCATCTGCTGGGGTTTCAAAGGTTAACAAAAAATAAATTTCCTGGGTTTGTTGTTTATGTGTTTCATCAGGAGCACTTCCACACTTCATTTACATTTGCCCAACACTGCTTCAAGGGTATTATAATATGTTTTTCTATTGAGCCCTGCAATAGAAAGCTTTCCAGGCTAATCTGCTTAAGCTATTCCCCACCCCCAGCAATTAATTTTATCAAGGTGACAACCATCCCAAGCCCCTATGAGCCTCCC